GATCTTCCGCAGTTATTCTAAACAAACATACATTATCGTGCCCCAACTCCAACAGTAGTTCTAACGTAAACCTAAACCCTAAACTTTATCTTTACACTAGGCTACACCTAGACCCTAACTACAGTTAACCCTAACTTACCTTAATTCTAACCTTAACCCTAATCCCAGAACAAATTCTATTTCCCTGGAATTTAGCGCAGTGCCACCTGTATTGCGGGTGGTGCCTGTTCTGCTGTCCTGTTTAGGGGTCCACTTAACTCCCCACTAAAAAAATTTAAGAATAGCATGAACATTTGTATGTTTCCAATCGTAAAGAACATCCTTCTCGTGTGCACAGCTCCAACTCGAATAATCTAACTACTTTTCTTCTAAGAAAGGGTTTTTTTACGAAAACACAAATTTACCCCCAAAAAAGCGGAAGGGCTTTTCTAACGGGCGTTTTTAAGGTTTTTTGTGGTATTTGATCAGTTCTTTGTAGCGGCATGTTTACTTAAATACAGGGAGGTCCGGTTTCATCGTTCGGCCGGTGGCGGGTTATATCTCTGCTCGGGACTTTCTCTCTGGCCTTGCATTCCGTGTGTTCTTCTGCACACAGTACATACGTCATCCTTCGGACCCTTTCTATACACCAGAACCGTAAGTTGATTTTTTTGTCTTCTGTGCCGAAAGTACTTGAGTTTACAAAAGCTCTCGCGAGAAGTTTCAGAACGTAAGACACTCCGACTCTCGGGAATTCTTTTTCGAGCAAGAAATGTTTGGACAAACAAAACAGCCAGTAGACAGACATTTGGCCAATTTCTGTTGTTTTGTAGTTCTGAAATTCTAGTTTAAAAAGTAGTTAAGCATGCAGGTTATGGGACAAAGAATGTTCAGCTTTTGAATTTCCTCAGAATATAATTTCTGTGCTCGGCATAGATCAATTTATTCACGGTTTATAGGCCCAGACTGAAATCTGATGTATATAGTTGGGCTGAACTCCATTAGCCACTGCGGGCTAACCGCATAATATGCACATGCTGCCAACAGGCAGACAGTATTATACTGGCAGCACAAGTAGTAGCTAAAAGCCTAGATACGTGTTTCGCCTGTATTCTGCCGCTGTTTGACACAGCTGTGAGGGGTTTGGCTCACCAGTGGGTCCTCCAACTTTCCTTGTTTGTTTTCTGGTTGATATGCCGGTTTTGAAAGTTCCGATTTTCAATTTCATCAGAAATTTACTTCTGTTCGCGGTATAGATTGCTATGTTCAAGGTCCATAGGCATGGACCGAATGTTAAACATATAACTCAACTGTCAGGGATTCAAGAGATTAGAGGACTTCTGCTCTTCAGCCATAGAGGCAACTGACAGTGTATGGGGCTAGTTAACCGAAAGTTCGGAGCTGTTGTATAATAGTCGAGTTTATTCGGCTTATACGTTTTCCAACCGGTAATCCTCAACACTAGTACATATATGTTGAGCATGAGCAATTTCCATTCCAGCTGTAACTGGTGATTGCATCTAAAATTTGGTAATAGGCTACCGCTTTTTGCGACCAAGAAAAAGAAAAAGAATCCCCATCAGTGTAGGTTAACAGACAGATAAATTACGTTTATGAAGCGTTCCA